CTACTCTGTAACTCTTGTGGTAAATGACTGTCATTGGAAAGCATGTGATTTTTGATTAGATACGGACACATCTAATTCAAGAAATGTTTTGTCCTCAACATGCATTTACGAACCTAAACACACATAGTCTTAAAGCAGATTGCCTTTTAGGTCATGTTTGTTCCTTCTCTTCCTTTCCCTTCCTTTCCTTTTTCTTTTCTCCCTCTTCCTTCCCTCCTTGCCTCCCTCCTTGCCTGCCTGCCTTCTTCCTTCCTACCTTCCTCCTCCCTTCCTTCCTTCCTTTCTTATTTGACTGTTACAAATGATACCTTTAAGACTAGAACTATTATGCATCAGCATATATAGCTTTCAGAATGAGCAGGACAGCCTGGTGACTAGGGAGTAGATTGGCTAAACTTACTTATCAGTCAGAATGAATGTTATAATTTTGAGAAATTGGAAATAATCTATGTAAGCCAATTCTCTTTGCTGTCTCTTAAAGGATCATTTAATTTTCATACTCGTATTTCCCTATTATTTTATCTCCTGACTTCAAAAACTCTTTATGAACAAAGGAATGAAAGCAGGAGGAGAGGAAGGAATGAACATTATCAGAGTGTTTAAAAATTAAGTCTTGTACTAGATGATTTTATGTATCTTTATAATTTATTCTTCACAATTAGCTTTTAAACTTAGTTACAGTAATTTACTCAGAACCACAGAGATGGTAAGAGACAGCATTGAGATTTGAAACCAACTTTGTTAAAATCCAATATTCATGCCATTTCTACTATTCTATTGTCTTCCAAGCTTTGTTTCAGGGAAATCTAAGGTCTTTAGAGACCATGAGCAGGGCTAGTAAATGGTCAAGCAGAAGATTGGCTTCCCTTACCTCTCTTTAGCAAGAACAGCTCCACTTGTATGTTTCATTGGGGCTCCAGATAGAATTTTGCTTTTTTTTTTAAGTTTACTTATTTATTTTTAGAGAGAGAGAGAGAACAAGTGTGAGAGGGAGAGGGGTAGAGAGAGAGGGACAGAGAATCCCAAGGAGGCTCTGTGCTGTCAGCACCACATTCAATGTGGGGCTCAATCTCACGAGCAGTGAGATCATGACCTGAGCCTAAATCAAGAGTTGGACGCTCAACCAACTGAGCCACCAGGCACCCTTAGAATTTTGCTTTTTTTTAAAAAAAGTTCCATTACTAGGAAAAAGTTTGAAAGTTGAGCTATGCTATGCTGGAACTTCTGAAAATATATCCCCAGACCATCACAGAATTTCTCAAGCAATAGACAATCAATATATAAACCAGAGGATGATGATTAAATTCATCCTTTCAATGTAAATTAGCCGTTACAGGATGCACCTTTGTCAGTGGGCTTATCCATAGAGCATGGTGAAGCTTACTATGTGCCACAGTCTAGAAGTAGAAAGCCCTTTCAGTCTTTCATCTTCCCCATTAAACATGTGTAACATTAGTCATGGGATTAAAACCTCTTTTATTCAGAGAGACAGCAGAGAGACCGAGCTATAATAAAAAGAAAAACCGGACTTAATACAAAGACATGAGTCCAACAGGTCAAGTGACATTGAGAAAGTCAATGAATCCCTTTAAACCAGTTGTTTTTGCACTGCAGATTGTACCCATCAGTCAGTGGCAATCAACAGTAAATAATGAAACAGTAAATAATGAAATGGAGGGGCGTCAGTTGAGTGGTTGACTGTATTTGGGCTCAGGTCATGATCTTAACAGTTTGTGGGATTGAGCCCTGCATGGGGCTCTGTGCTGACAGTGCGAAGTCTGTTTGGGATTATCTCTCTCCCTCTCTCTTTCTGCCCCTTCCCGACTCATGTTCTCTCTCTCAAAATAAGTAAACTTAAAAAAAAAAATGAAGTAGAATGGTGTTGAATATTTTATGAAAAATTTTCCCAGTTATAAGTGTGTGAGGAACAGACAAAGTCCCAATGTAGTATGCATTTCTTACTGCCAGAAAGGTGTGCACACCATTGCTTTCAAAGATTCTCTTTGTATGTTCTCTGATACACAGGGTGGTGGTAGTAACATGGCTGTTATGTGCTGCACAGAGTGAGGTTTTTCAGGAAGCTTCGGCAAAGTGCTTTACAAATATAATCTGCTGCTGAAAGTAAGGATGAATTATGTGTTTTACCAAATAAAAGAATACCATCATTTTCTGTGGCCCATATTCACATAAATCTCTCAGGAAGAGTGATGTATTTGAGGTCAGGCTATTACATGAAAATCCTAAACAATTCAAACTTAATTTCATAATTTCTTTTTACTATATCAAGACAGATAAGTATTTGGCACTATCTTTCTATTATTGCTGTGACATACTTAGATGAAGATAATTGAATTAATAAATCAATATTTTTATTATACCCTCTGGGACAGTGCTTAGACAAGGTTGAAATTGTTAATTTGCATTTCAGTTATCACAATTTGACTTATTTCTACTTCTTCAGACTTTCATCAGTATCCTAACTTACCAACTACTTTCCAAACGGCTATACTTCTCCAAAGACCTTATACTGATATCATCATGTCCTAAAGCAAATGTTTTCAGCTCTTTTCACAGTTTGCCTTCCCTCCCCCTTCAAACAGAGAAACAAACAGGGAGACACTTCTGTTCTCAACCTACCTGCCTATTTCAATAGTTTCACTGTTAAAACTCCTTGGCTAAAAGTATTAGAGCTTTAGTTTATACCGTTCTCTTTATCTCCTTAAATCCAATTTGTTGCCAAACTTTGTTTTTTGTTTGAAATGTCCCTCTTAAAATCAATGCTCTCTGAGACCACCCTAGCCACCAACCTAATCATTTCATTGCCAGAAAATTCAGAAAAGGTTTCTCTGTTTCTCGCAATTATTTGGGTCTATGAAAATTTTCCTAAAATATTTTTGTTAAAAAATCATTTTATTTCTTGCATAGGACTCACAAAGGATATGTGGCTCCCACATTAATTTCAGAATTTCCCCTGGTTATCAATGTCTTCTATAATATAGGTCCATTATACCTTTCATTCATTCATTTAAATGAATGAAGCCAATTTGTTTTTAAAGGAAAAAGTGAAGGATTTATTTGATCTGCAGAGAAATTAGATCATCTGAACATTTAAAGTTTCTATTTCTGCTAGTTGTCCTATTATGTACAGTGAATGTTAATGAAGTTGAACACAACAGAGTCTCCACTGTTTAAGAGTGTATTCCTTAATGACAAAGACGAGCAAATGCATGATCATGATGTTTTATGACAAATAGTACACGAGAAGTGGAAGACAAGGGAGCAAACACCAAATCTGATATCCTGCTGGTGCCACCTCTCAATCTTTCACTTCAGCCAGATAAGTGTCCCGTGAAAATTAATCACACATTTCAACCTTTCCTGAAAAATATATGTGATCCTTGACTTTTTTTTCTATCCAAATACCATTCATCTGAAAAAACTCAGCTTATCCTACTTTTTTCTTAAATCATTCCTTTACCATTTCAACTCTTACTCATTTCTCCTTCTTACACTGGTACTAGGTTTTATAAATGTTTAGTATAGGGTTGTATTAGTTTTATAAAAGTATTCTCTCCACAACTGAATTACATTTTCTTGGGGGGTGGTTTCTTTGAAACCATCAGTATCATGCTCAGTGTGAAGAACCTAACTTGTTTATCTTTCCTAAAAAAAAGAATAAATAGGCAACACTCTTACTTTAAAGAAACAAAATGGAAAACTTAAACCATAGCCTTAGCTAAATAGTCTCATTTCAAGAGACGTATTTACTATACCCATTCTTGTATATTCAGTCACCGTGAGAATCGTCATATGCCTTTCTCCAGGAACATCAAAGTACTTTAGTTTTTCCCATTCCTCCTGCCATAAAACACACCCCAACTAAATTGATCTAATATCCATGAAATATTAGTTAAGTGAGGAATTGGTGGTGAAAATTTGGTGGCCCAACTTTTTAGTGTTTTAACTGTATTTAATGAGTTTTGCATGGCAGGATTTTTTGTTGTTGTTTTATGTTTCTTCTTATTGTTTTTTTAAAGCACCTGGCCCATTTAGAATGTCTACATAAATTCCATTTGTAGTGGCAGATTTTGGGAACATCCTGGTTAACCTTGATGCCATTTCTTGACACATCCTTGTACCCTGGGTTCATCATCATACGATACATTTACAAGCATAGAGACAATTTACTCATCTGTTATTAGGGAATCTTTGCTATTTGTAAGACCGTGTCCTTTTCTTCAGAGATATGACTGTTGAAAAAAAGGCAAATTCTACAGGCCAATTAACCAGGTTGCCTCAGATGAGGACAATCTGGAACAATATCTACCTGTACCTGATTTTGCTAACAGCCTGTTATGGTCTAAACTTTTTCCAGAAAAGCTCAAGTCAATCTCAGAGAAATATTCAGATTTCAGAAGTTCGGGGTTTCCCACTTTTCCTCTTTATTCAGTCCCACCCAGCTGCAAACTCCAGAACAACGTACTAGCTGACAATAGTTCTAAGTTGCGACAGAAACAGATTAGTTTCCACTCAAGAAATCCCAAATAAGACAAATTATAAATACTTTCTACCTATGCAAATTCCATAGTTCCTAAATATTCTCTCCATTTACCGTATCAACCAGAGCAACAGAAGAACTAGAGGAAAGAATAAGATGGGGATGAGGTCCAATTGGACAATAGCCACATTTTTTGAGGAGCATTTACTATGTACTAGAGATTATGCTAGACACTTTAATACATTGTTCTTCTTATCTTTACAAAAGTTGCATAATATAGGCATTACCTCCATTTTATAAATGAAGGAACTGAAACCCAGAGAAGCTAAAAATTTGCCCAAGGTAAGAGCCAGGATTAAACTTTGCTCTTGAATTTCCAGAATCCAAGCTCTTGAAGACAATACAATACTGCCTTTGACATACAATAATACAATACAATACTCAAGGTTAGATAGGAAACCTGTGATTGCCATATCCAAACAAGTTCATGATAATGGTTTACCTGTGGTCCAGCAAGGATACTACTGAGGAGCCATGCCAAGCCAATCATGGACTGTCCGAGCTTGCCATTGCTTTTCACAGCTAGAGGCCTCGTGATAGCCAGGGAGCGGTCTAGGCTGATCACTACCATCATGAAAGCTGGGGCATACATGGAGAAAAGCTTCAGATAGCTGAGAACTTTGCAGAGGAGCTCTCCAGCATACCATTGAACTGTAATATTCCACATCCCATCTAGTGGCATGACAAGCAGAGTCTCCAACAGGTTGGCTAAGGTCAGATGTTTTAAAAGCATCTTCATTCTTGAAAGCTTTTTTCCTTTCTCTTTCTTCTGAGTCCACTTCTGAAGTTTCAACAAGAAAGAAGCATTAAAAGTTGTAGAGAGTAGAAAAAGGAAGAAAGTAACCGTCACTCGGATCTTTCCAGATAATGTCAGTGTGGGGAGGTTGCCCTGCATCAGTGGGATGCTGTTGTTTATGGCTGAGCAGTGATTCTGATTCTGTTCAGGAGGGGCACTTGCCATACCTCCTGACTGATAGAGCTTCAAGACTTGTGTTTCTGGCACTTCTGATGTTTTATTGTAACCTAGCCCAAAGCCCTGTTTTATTTCTGCCTTCTTTAGATGGAAACGTCACAGGTGTAGATTTATGTCAAATTTCGTCCCTGAGCTAGTTTATATTTAATGTAAAAGATCAAGGTGAACTTGTTTTGTGGGCTAATAATCCAACACAGTGCTAAAACAGAACATGTCAAACACATTGTGAGGGCCAAATGTAACCGTAGTACCTCAGCAGATGGCCTGGTTTTCACAACATTTTTCCTAAGTAGAGAAGGACACCTGAAGCTTAATTCTGAATTTAAAATCCATTCATGCCGTTATCCACATGACTTTAATAAGGAGATTTTCTAAAAACTATTAAGTGTTATTATTCTGTCCAAGAGATACAAGATGAAAATGAAAAATACTAAAAAAGAACTCAATCCAGTTCAAATCTGTTGTTTTAATAAATTAATTTTTTTTCAAAAGCATTGGTTTTCTTTTTCAATCACACACTGCTGTACATGAAACACTGGACAAATATGTTCATTTAAAGCCATCCTGCACAAAATGTCAAATTAATACCTTAACAGAATTAATTCGATCTAATATAAATTAGTCTGCATTCAAATTTATCAATCAATCCCAATGGTCAGACTATCCATGCTTAGGTTGGGTAAAAATCATTAATTTTTAAAATTATTGCCTTGCTTTTATAATTGTTTAAATACTGTACTTTCCATTATTGCACATTATTCATAGCATAGATAGATATTGGAGAGAATACTGTATAAATGCTGTAACCACATTTATCTGTGTTTATATATAATATGAATAGTTGCTTAAATTCCTTTATATATATGTTATCTGATCATTTCCAATTGGGGCCACTTTGAAACACTCTCTGTGTTGCTGCTTTACCTTTCATGATGAGTGCTTGATGATGTTATTTACCAATAATGATATGACTTACACTGGAATTTATTAAATCACTAGGTTGATTCAACTTATGTCAACTAGTTTGCTTTTGTGGCAGCTAAAGCAGGAATATTAAGCATATAGGTGAGTCTTTTGACTTAGATGGTCCATTCTTGTTGGTTCATAGATTTGTTTTTTGTGTCTTATATTCATTTATTTAATAAGTAGTTACTAAATACCTGCTATATATGCTCTTAGCCTTTGCAGGTGATAAAACATGCACGTGGCATCATCTGGGCCCTGGAGGAGCTTATTTGCTGCCACAGAAGAATAAGTAAGAGTGTTGGATATGTCTTAGGTGCCTCTTCAGATTCCCTCTGCACCGACTGCCTCCAGGATCTGGAGGGACTTAGAACAGTTGTGTATCTCGGCTCCCTCTTGGCTGTCACCACATGGCAGAATTACTCACTTTCTCTCACTACTTCTAGCCTTGAATGAAATAGTATAGTGCAGGGCATGGAATCTGGCTTCCTAAGTGACTTTCTGAAGGGACTGGAAATATTTTCCAGTGGAGTATTTTGGTTCTGAAATGGACCCTTTCTAAATAATTAGTGGGAGGAATAGATGAGTCATAAATTATGAGAAGTACACCTTTTGGAAAAACATATCCCATGTATTTTAAAACATAAAAAAGAGCATAAATATAGACTTGACTCTTATTATTTGTTGTAGCTCTATAAAGTTGCCACCAGCACTGAATTGGCAAATACTGAACACTTGCTCCTAACAAAAGTGTAGGATTAGGTTCCTGTAAGCTAAAGCACCATTTGCATTAAATAGGTTCCTTTGCCAACATCCTTGTAAAACAAGCCAGTCTCAGCATTGAAAACTTGCTCTTTCGCACAACCCTTTTCCTGTATAACACTTAGATGATATTTAGGAAATTGTTTTCAATATTCCTGATATGTAGAAACTGTCACAACTGCAAATTTAACATTTTTCACACCATATAGCCTTTCAAATTGTGCAAGTCAGTTACCATAAGTTTTTTTGGCTTTCACTGTCACAACAATGCTGTTTACTATATTTTTAATGCTTTTTTTTTAAAGTTTATTTATTTTGACAGAGAGAGAGAAAGAGAGCACAAGTGCAGCAGGTGCAGAGAGGGAGAGAGAATTCCAAGCAGGCTCTGCATTGTCAGTGCAGAGCTCAACATGGGGCTTGAACTCACGAATGATGATTCATGATTTTCTATAAATAATAATCAATAAATAAAACCAAAAAGTTAAAGAAAAACAATAATTCCCACTAGAACTTCCAAATAAATTAAACTGTATTATAAACATAAAATGTTTATAACATTAAAAAGAATAGTGTTTTAACCTAGAACTTCAAAATAGATTGAAGTACTATTTGAGTCTTGATCTGTTAAGGAGTTTAAGGGAAATGGTGAAATTATGTTTATATAGAATATTAAAGAAAGGTATTTTTTTTACATCTGAGATTTATGACCTTAAAGTTTGTACCTACTATATTTTATTTTCCTGAAGAACTCAAAAGGCTTTGCATATACATCATGTCAGTTAATCTGAGCAGGGCTATATGCCTGAAACCAAACAAAACAAGGTAATCATTTTTACAAACCAGAAAAGCTATTATATGTGGGCCAGAAACAAAAAGAAGAAAGGAAAAATGTTAATGGTAAAATCTGATTATACTGAAGCATATTTTGCCCTTTGTGTCTCATTTTAGGGAAAGAAAAAAACTGGAGCATGAATGCTTTATTATTAATTTCTCCCTTTCCTTTCCTGTTTCTTTCCCTTTCCCACATTCATCTTGGCTGCAACTTCTTCCACAATGTATCTGTTCATCAAAGTAAGAAAGAGAACAAAGAAAAACAACAAAGGATAGAAGAAAGGAAGGGAGAGGGAATTTAGGAGACAGGCAAAAGAGCAATTGTGGGATGGGGAGGACATTCTTGGCAGCTAGAACAGTCATGCTCAAATAGAACGTTAGAAGCTTCTCTGTGCCTGAAAAGGGGTATGTGAGTGTGACCAAAGATGAGGCAGCCATCAGATCAGGAAACCTATATTACAGTAGTTTCGCTTATCTACAGGGGATACATTCTAAGACCCCCAAGGACCACCTGAAACTGTGGATAGTACCAAGCCCTTTGTATTACTCTGTTGTACCTATACACACATACTTATGATACAATTTAGTTTATAAATTAGGCACAGTAAGAAATTAACAATAACTAATAAAATAAGACAACTATAATAATATGCTGTAATAAAAGTTAAGTGAAGGTGGTCTCTCTTCAAATACCTTATTGTTCTGTACTCAGCCTTTGTCTTCTAGTGATGATGTGAGATGATAAAATGCTTATGTTATGAGATGAAATGAGTGAATGATTTAGGCGTCGTGGTGTAAGGTTAGGCTACTATTGACCTTCTGACAATATGTTATCTGTGTCTAGACTGCACTCGATCTGGGGTAACTGGAACCATGGAAAGTGAAATCGCAGACAAGACAGCAGTACTGTGCATGCTAAGGACTTTGGGCTTTCCCTATAAATAGTGCCTTGAACGATGGAGTGGTATGATGTAGATATGGCCAGATTCATACTTTAGAAAGGTCATTGTGTAACATACAGATAGTGCTTTGAAAGCATTTGGGAATTATTGGCAGATCAAAATTTGAGGCAGTTCGTCTATTTAGAAAGTCTTTGCTACCAACACAACATGGAAAGTAGGTGGTAGCATAACATGGAGAGAGATAAATTTCAATTTTTTTTATTTATTTATTTTTTATTTTTTTATTTTTTTAACGTTTATTTTTGAGACAGAGAGAGACAGAGCATGAACGGGGGAGGGTCAGAGAGAGGGAGACACAGAATCTGAAACAGGCTCCAGGCTCTGAGCTGTCAGCACAGAGCCCGACACGGGGCTCAAACTCATGGACCGCGAGATCATGACCTGAGCCGAAGTCGGCCGCTTAACCGACTGAGCCACCCAGGCGCCCCATTTCAAGTTTTATATATACAGAAAGTACAGTTATTAGAACTTGGTTGGTTAGTTCTTATTTTTGAGAAAGTGGATGGAATAAAGAATTGTTCTTTAATTACCAACTTAGAAAAATGAGTTGAATGGGCTGTCTATTAGACTAGGAAAGGTGGACAGAGAGAAATTTTAGATGTATGGAATTTGAGATGCCTATACATTAGCCTAAAGGAAATTTTTAGTAGGCACTTGGCTATACAGGTGGGAAGCTCAAGAGATACATCCTAGCTGGAGATATAAATTAGCAGAATATATATTTATGGTGCTTGTGGATGAAGCCATGGGAATGGATGAGATTACCTAGAGAGAATGTGAACAATAAGAAGTGCCAGGAGAGAACTCTGTGAACACAATCATTTAAAGAGCACACAGGGGTTGGGAACATTGTAAAATAATGAGGAGACCAGAAGAGAGTGATGTAATAGAAGTAATAGGAGGAGAGAACTCCAGGAGAGAGGGAGTGATCCATACACTAAGTATCTCAGTGATAGGACAAGACCCAAAGAGAATTAGTGGGATGAGGTAATTAGGAAGTCATTGATGACTTGCCTACAGTAGCTTTGGTGCTTTGGTAAGAATGGTCATTAGAAGAGCACGTGAAATTTGAGGAAGTAGACATAAAGAAAAAAGGATTAAAAAAAAACAGGTATGTAAGACTTGAGGATGTTTAGAGACTTAGAGATCGAACCAGTGAGGATGTTTAGAGATTTAGAGATGGAACCAGTAGAAGGGAGAACAGGTCAAGGGACTAGGGCAGATGTAGCAGAAAGACAGGGAGCAGATCCCTTAGGGGAGCTGATTATGTAGTAAGTCACTAAAGAGTTAGGCTTGATAGGGAAGGAAGTGGATCTATGAATGCGGTGGAGTTAGGGTAGACTCAAATAAAAGAGGGGGCTCAAGAAAAGAGGATCTCGATGGAAAGAAAATAAATTATAATGGAGTAAGGGAGTCTTAAACTAGGAGGGCGTAGGTAGAAATTTGAATTTAAGATTCCAGATGTGAAGT